TGGGACCTCGCTCCGGCCATCGGCCTTGGCTCTGCTCGCTTGGAGATGAAGCCCTTCTTGGGAACAGGTGAAGGGGAAGGCGACAACTGGCGAAGGGAGGCTATGGGTAGGAAAGGCCAGAGCACTGGGCTTTGTGTAGGTCCCAAGCAGGGGATGAGGTTGGAAGTCCCCAGCAGGAACGCAGCCCAAGTGTAGCCCGGCGGGCGGCTTCACCCAGAGGGGGTCCAGGCTGGGCTCCAGAGCACAGACAAGGTGCTTTGTGTGTCGACTTTGCCCCCAGACGGAGCAGAGGGCTCCAGGGTTGTGGTCAGCGCAGAGGCGGGCAACCGGATGTTGAGTCTGTAGGATGGACCTTGAGGTCTGTTGGGTGTTTGGAATGCTGGGGGCGGCGGCCCAGCTTGTGGAGCGTGCAGCGCGCAGGGCGCCGGGGCGGTCGGCGGCGTGGGTGAGGCAGCAGGCCCTGCACACCTCTGCGGTTGCTGGGCTGTGTCCCAGACATTTGAACTGAGGCCGACCACTGGTCAGAGCATGAAAAATAAATGCAATGAAAGGTCTTTCTTTTTTGTTTTTGTCCTTTTCCACCTAAGAAGTCCTCTCTTTTTTTCTCTCTTTTGGAGATACCTGGATTTGGTCCAGAGCAGGTTGCCCGCGGGAGGGCCCCGCAAGCGGCAGCGCGCGAGGGAGGGAGCGAGGGAGGGAGGGCAAGAAGGAGGGAGGGAGGGAAGGAGGGCGGGTGGCGGCGGCTGCGGTGGTGGCCAGGGCTTCCCTCCCCGGGCGGAGGCGGCTGCCCTGCATCTGTGGCCGTGGGGAGCCGAGGAGCAGGTAACGAAGGCGCTTCCCGAGGCGGGACCTGGACCGAGCCAGCGGGACCGAGTCCTATGGGTCTCTGCCTGAGGCCCTGGCAGGAGTGAAGGTAGGAGAGATCGGCGCCCGCCAGGCCGGGCAAAGAGGCCTCGGGAATGTTGAACCTGTATATGATTTCAGGCTCACACTCATGTTGTGAGCCTGTCTGCCTCAGGAGATGCGGTTTGCCTGTCTGTCTGACTGTCTGTCTGAGATGTCCCAAACCCTGGGCTCTCCTTCCAAAGGCTGAGAAAATTCGGGAAAATTCGTCGTCGGAATGTGCACATTCATTCATTGGATTCGCTGCATCTCAGCGGGGCTGGTTACGGTGCCCCCCAGGTTGGAAGGCAGCTTCCCTCCTGGTTTTCTGGGTGCGGAGTCCTCTGGCGCCCTCCGCCTCGGGCTGAGTTTCTGGCTCCAGGTTCGCGAGTCGCCCAGAGGTTGGAGACCAGACAGCTCGCAGTCTGGCAAGGAGGGCGGGGGAGAGAGGAGCAGCTCTGGCTCCTTAATTGTACTTCGGGACCGTATTGTCTCTCCTTTCGCCACCTCGGCTTCCTCAGTCTGGGCTCCAAAGTCACTGCAAATTTCCTTGCGACACATACATCACACAAAAGATCAGGTAACAGCGTGCTCAGGGCCATTGAAACTCCGGGGAGAGAGCAGCCCTAGCTCTGGGGCGGCTCCCCCTTCAGCCACTCCCCGGGCTGGGAAACCAGACCGTGTTGGGGGAGCCGGAAATAGCCCCGTTTGCTGCGGAGCGGCAGGGCGGGGGCTCCGGCGGAAAGGCAGGCCCGGCAGGCCGTGGCGTTGAGAGGGCCACGTTCACAGGCCCAGGGGGTTTCACTCCTGCTGGGTTTGGGGGCCTGACTCCTAGTGTGCAGGGATCCGGGATACCCACCTGGGGTGGGGGCAGGACGTGGGTCTTCTCGCGGCAGGGCAGGAAAACTCAGTTTCTGCTTCCAGCGCAGGCCTTAACTAGGAGGAGTTGCGTGTGGTGTGTTTTTCCCAACAAAGAGGGATCCAGAGAGAAGGGGGAAAGGAGAAGGGAATCAGGGAGGGGGCAGGGAGGGGGAGAGGGCAACGGAGAGGTGAAATGAGCCCATTTCAGGGGGAGAAGGAAAATGAAAGCAAATGGAGCACGGCCTTCTCCGCCCAGGGCGGGTGTTGGGGAACCGGGATGGGCTGGGCTCTCAGCCTTCGGCCGCTGGGATAGCCTGCTGGGGGCACAGGGAAAAGCCTGTTTTAAATTTATCCGAACTTGACGGTGTGGATTGAACCACAGGGAATTTAGATCACTAAAAGGGAGACACAGGGCAGGGGGAGGGGATGACTCTAACCTGTCTTTCTGTCTGTCCTTCCCGCGATGCTAGCTTGATTGTGGTCTCAGCTGTCCAGGTTTGAGGTGATGCAGGAAAGGTGCCACTCCCCCTTAGCGGACTCTCCGGTGCCCAGTGAAATCCTCTGGGCGTGGGAGGGGACCGCTAAGAAGCAGAGCAGTACAGAGCTGCTAGCCAGAGCTGGAGTTTCCCCGCCTCCCAACAGGGACTCCCAGCGCCTCAGGTCCCTCAGGTTCCCCAGGAGTGCTAAGGAAAATTGAAGAAGTGGTGAAGATGAGTCCTGGAGTATGGTAGGAGATCCAGCAGGAGTAACTGAACTCCAAGAAGATGAGATTCTCCCTTTTGCCCCCCCATCCTTTTGCTCCCACACCTAACAAGCCTGGATTTAGGGGAAGCCTGAAAGCCTGCTTCAGACCCCTGACCTGCCATTCTGCTTTCAAATGTGGAGAATGGAGGCTACAGCCCACATGCAGTTCTGGAACCTGTAGGACCTGGGCCTAGTGGACCAGGCTCTCCAGGGGTCTCCCAGGCTCTGTAAGGCCCCCTCCTCACAGCTGCCCCTCTCTGTGAGGCATGGGGGAAATGAGGCATTGGCCAGGAGGGCTCTGTGGACAAGGCCTGCTTCATGATCCACAGCTGTGCCTGTGCCTGAGTGGGGAGAGTCCAGAGTTCCTGCTTCCAAAAGGAAGGGAAGGCTGCAATTCCCTCTTGGTTTGTTTCCTGGAGGATTTGATGGCAACAGGGATCCCTGGACAGTGATCCTGACAGCCTGGCTGCTGTGCCTCCGCAGGGTAGCAGGCCTGGTTCACAGGGAGCTCAGGAGTTGAAAAGAAGGCCGTGTTCAAAGGGGATAGGAGAGAAGAGACATCTCTTTACAGCCACCAAGTCTATTGGAGGGGCTCTCCCAAATAGCAGAGGCCCATAGGAGAGGATCCTTAAGGACTCTTTCGTCTAGGGAAGCTGAGATTGAGGCAGACAGGCCCTGTAACCTGGTAAAGACGCAAAAAACCTCTTTCCTCTTCTGTTTCTTCGCTGCTTCTTGACTAGAGCATGTTCAGTCCCCTGCTGCCTAGGCGGTTGCTTGGGCCAATGTAGGATTCTGTGTCCCAGAGGCCTAGTATACCCACCAGAGCCAGGTCCCCAAGAGGGACAGGAAAGGAGGCCTCTTCCTCCTTTGTGTCCAGACAGAAGTGGCTGCCGCGCCCCAGAGCTGGTCCCTCGGCAAAGGCCCAGCAAGCAAGCAGACTGCACAATGCCACGGCTGCTCTGCTCCGCCAGCACCAGCTCAAGCCCTGCCCCGTTGCGTCCTTCCTGCGTATTGCTGCCCTTCCTCCTCCTTGGTCTCTGCATGCCTTCCTTTCCCTGCTCTCCTATCTCTTTTCCTCTTGCTTTCCTTCTTTTCTTTAATTCTTCCCTTTTTTCTGCTTATTCTCATCCTCCATTTCCTTTTCTCCTTCCACGGGCCTGGCGCTGTGTTTCAGTTGGTCTGTCTCAGGCTGTCTGGGGCTTGGTCTCTCTGAGGCTATGTCCTCTGATGTCCTCTTGGTCGAAGTCTGGCCCCGGGCCCCGCTGAAGGCTAAATGTCTCTGCTCCTTGCTGCCAGCAGCTGCCCAAGAGCCAGGCCAGGTCCCCAGCCACCAAGGGCTGGGGGAGGTGCTGAGTGTACTGGGGGCTTGGAGAAAGCCTCTGCAGAAGGACTGGAATCTCCTGTCTTTTCCTTGAACTAGTGAGGGAGAATTTTTGATTGACAGCTAACCCAACTCCATCAAGGCCAAAGAGATTTTCTGTTTCTTGCTGTAATTTGGGTTTCCCAGCCAATCCAGCCTGAGAGAGGGGAAGACAGTCGGAGCTGAGGGAAGACAGGGCTAAGGCCCCGGTAACCTCTTCCTCATCCCCACCTTGCCTCGAAATCCCAGCCCTACTAGACCGAAAAGGAAAGAACCAGGGAGGGGGAGGCGCAGGGACTAGGGAGGGGGCCCCTGGAGCTGGGGTTCACGCTACTGGGTGCAGCTGTATCTTCCTCCCAACTTTCCTCCCCCTCTCCAACATGAGTACTATACTCTCCAGCCCTTCTCCACCCCAGAGGAGATAGATACAGATGCAGCTGAAAAGCAGCCCCCACCCCCATCTCTGGTGTTCGGTCCCCTCCTGGGGACCGGAGAGGGAAAGGACAGGCATGGCTGGGTCTGGGAAGCCTCCTTCCTTGTTGGCTTCAGAGCCTGCATCACAGCTTCAGCTCTCCCCCTGTGCAGACTAGAACTCTTCTATCTGACCCTGAAATTGCACCCTCCCTTCAAACTCATTGTGCCCTGTCTAGATGCACCTTGTTTCTGCAGGCATCACCTGCCCCTCTTCTTCTCCCATATGACCTCCCTGCCCCCTCTCCTGCACCCACATTGAGGATTTTCTGCTTATCCAAAGCACTCTCCCATTTACTAAGCCACAATGGGACAATCTGAAGGAATGCCTATAGCTCTTCAAGGAACCCCAAATTCAAGGAGGAAGATAGCAATCAACTTATGGGGGAGGAAGCCAAGTTGTCTCATATTCTCCTACAATCACACTGCCCCCTCCGGAATTCCTGTATCCGACCCCAAAGAAATTGCTTTCTCCTATCCCTGCGTTGCTTTTTTCACGTTCCAAAAACAGCCTACAATTTTATTTAATGAAAGACACATTTATGAACAATCAAATGATCCTCATAAAAATTTTATTGAAGGACGTAAAAACAAGCTACTTGCCCACGACCGAGGTCGCTCTCTTGCCTTGCCTGCTCTCACCCAGGCTCTCTGCAGACAGAACCAGGGAACGACTTCTTTTGGGGGGGGAGGGTGTCGCAGAGATGGAGCTGGGGGCAAAGGAGGATAAGCAGACTGACGGGATGGGGATGCCCGACTTAAGTTGTGTAGATCTCTCCTCCACTTCTTCAAGCTGGCAAAGAAACATAAATAGATACAGACAATATATTTAAAATAAAGACGCTTGTGTATCTGTGCCAAAGCGAAGACTTCTGAGGCTGATGATGAAGGTATTTCAGATCCCGAAGTTCTATCCTCTCCTGCTCGCAGACTACCTTCTCTGAGCCTCCCTACCCCAGATTTGGGGGGCTGAGTTGGCCAGTGGCAGAAGGACGCTACCGTTTCCCTCCTTCCCTCCCTCCACCCCAGCTTCTCCAGTCCCCTCCCACCTTCCCTCCCTCGCTGCTGCTGCTCCTGAAAGAAATACATACATACACACTATTTTAAAACGCATTTTTAAAAGCCACGTTCCGAACTGACAATCGCTGATCTCGGCTCGCTCAGAGACTGCGGGAGCGTCGGGGCCGACAGAGACGGATTACGTCAAGAAATAGTTCCTCCACCTACCTCGGCTGGCCTCCCCGCCCCTATGGGGCTCCCGCGCCCAGGGCAGCCCTGGGGGTCCGGGAACCCTAGCTTCGGGGACTGGCATTTTCACCCCATTAAAAAAATCCTCCTAGCAGGGGGGAGCCAGCAGCTGATGGGTGGACATGGGCCAGGAGGGTTCCCTGATGAGACAGGAGCCGTCCTGAGGGGCTGGCCGGCGCCTTGGGTCCAGAGTTGCGGACCCCCAGGAAAACGCAGGTCGCGGGGATCAGCAGAGAGAAGGGGGTTGGAGAGGGGGAAAAAAACGCAAGGGAAAAAAAAAGCCCCTGCGCATTGATCCGCGCCGTATTTTTGGGTAAATACGATCACGTGGGGGCTGGGGAGCCAATGAGCTGCCGGGAAAAGGCTGGAAAAATAATTACCTGCCTTGATTGTTCTGTGAGCAGATAAAAAGTACATATACAGTTCATACAATAATCTTATGTATGTAAAACCCTGTTACGATGTCGGCGACGGGGCCCATCAGTAACTATTACGTGGACTCGCTCATCTCTCACGACAATGAAGACCTCCTAGCGTCCAGGTTTCCGGCCACGGGGGCTCACCCCGCCGCCGCCAGACCCAGCGGCTTGGTGCCGGACTGTAGCGATTTTCCGTCCTGTAGCTTCGCGCCCAAGCCCGCAGTGTTCAGCACGTCGTGGGCGCCGGTGCCCTCACAGTCGTCCGTGGTCTATCACCCGTACGGCCCCCAGCCCCACCTCGGCGCCGACACGCGCTACATGCGGACTTGGCTCGAGCCGCTGTCCGGCGCCGTCTCCTTCCCCAGCTTCCCGGCCGGGGGCCGTCACTACGCACTCAAGCCGGACGCCTACCCCGGGCGCCGCGCCGACTGCGGCCCGGGCGATGGCCGCAGCTACCCGGACTACATGTACGGCTCGCCCGGGGAGCTGCGCGACCGCGCCCCGCAGACACTGCCCTCGCCCGAGGCGGACGCCCTCGCCGGCAGCAAGCACAAAGAGGAGAAGGCCGACCTGGACCCCAGTAAGTTGGGAGCAATTTTCCTTTACAACCGGCGCGGGAGGGGAGGGGAGGACAGGCGGGGGGAACCGGATTACAGCCCCTCCGAGCAGCTCAGGGAGAGCGGGAGAGGGGTGAGGGCGAGGGGGTGAGGACTCAATAAAAGCGAATTACCTTGGGGAGCTTTCTGGGGCAGGAAGGTGTGAGAAGGGGGCTCAGGGAGCCAGGTTGAGAGAGGGCCGAGAGGGCGCTTCTCTCAGGGGCTGGCTTGGAGAGAGACCCCTGTCCCCTCCCCACCCCTCCCAGGCTTTTTGGCTCAGTGGCCACTTTGGAAGAAATGTAGACAACAGGGCCAGGGGCTGGGGCGGGGGCGAGGTTCATTTTAGGGTTTGCGATGGGACGGGAGAGGTGAGGAGGACATGGGGGCAGATATGAAATGCCCCAGGGAGGAAAATCACCGTGCATCCCCATCATCATGGGGGTCCTCACCCCACTAGGGATTCACAGAAGAGAAGATCCACTGACTTCTCCCCCAGGAGCCCTGGTGAGGGGTCTGGGAGATTTCACAGCCCAGGAACTTGGAGAGATCAGGACTTCCAGAGAGGAGTGGGGTCTGAGTCTCCTTAAACTTGAGAACCTTCTTCTGAGGGTCTGCAGGAAGAGGGGGTAAAAATAGGGGTCAGGGATGTGGGTGGGGAAAGCATCTCCCCAGGTTAGAGAACTCTGCACACTCTCTTCAGCCTAGGAGACAGGAGCCTTCTGAGGGCTGCAAAGAAGCTGCCTGGGGTAGGTGGGGGCAGGTGGAGCTGCAGGGCCAGAGAAAGGGAAGAGAAGGAGAATCAGCAGGGGAGAAGGTGCAGCCCTCTGGGTGTTGGGAAGTATCTGGGGAGTCCCAGGAGGGGGGCTGCAGGAAATTTTTTCCTCCTCTAAGGGGCCAGGGCCTAATTATACCCCTCTGAAGACTTCCCTCGCTGCCCTCAGCTACTCCCATAAACCTGAAATTGGAAGCTTAGGTCCTTGCAGAGCTTGTCCTGAGGCTGGTAGGAGGGGGTCACTGGAGACCAACAGGGAAGCTAAGATGTGGGGGAGGCTGTCCCCAAGGCCAGCAGCTCTCTGAGGAAAGGGGAAGGACTTTGCACATCCCAGCGTCACCCTGAGAATTCGCCTCAGCAGGGTTGAACTCTGAGCGGAGACAGCACTGGAGAGAGTGGTGAGGGACTTAGGGACTCTCAGGGTCAGGAAGTAGGACTGCTGAAATTTCAGGACTGGGTCGTGGGCTGGGAGGATGGGAGGGGGTAGGGTAGAGGAGGAGGGAGGTGGGGAGGAGAGAGACCTCGCTATAAAAATAAAAAACAAGAGAGAGAAGCGTTTATGGGCCTATGAAACGGTTGGGAATTTGGATTTTTTATGAGGATATTCTCGAATTACTACTCTTGAAGCTGAGGACCAGACTGTAGGGCTTTGATAGCTTCGGATTTCCTACAGTTTTAGGTGCTGGAAAATAAAGAGGAAGGAAAGAGATGGGGAAAGGGCAGAATGCAAAAGGAAGAAGGGAGAAAATTCCTAAAGCAAAACGTGTCCAAATTCAGGTTCAATTATTGGGTTTGGGGGGCCTAGCTAAGCCTGGGGGTGGGGTGGTAGAGGTCCCGGACTGGAAAGGGGCTCCACTGACCCCTGCCTGTGTTTGGCCCTCCAGGCAACCCCGTGGCCAACTGGATCCACGCCCGCTCCACGAGGAAGAAGCGCTGCCCCTACACCAAGTACCAGACGCTGGAACTGGAGAAGGAGTTTCTCTTCAATATGTATTTAACCAGGGACCGTCGGTATGAGGTGGCTCGGGTTCTCAATCTGACCGAGCGGCAGGTCAAAATCTGGTTTCAGAACCGGAGGATGAAGATGAAAAAGATGAATAAAGAGAAAACCGACAAGGAGCAATCCTAAACCCTGCCCCAGCCTGCTGCCTCGGCACAGCCAAGGGAAAAACAAAAACCCCACAAAAATATCCTAACCCAAGCGGGAGAAAGCACGAAAGGAAAAGGAAAGAGCAAGAGACAAAAAGCCAATCCGCTTAAAAAGAAAAAAAAAAGGAAGGGGAAAAGGAAAACTCTTGCGATTTGGGAGGGTTAAGTGTTCAGAAATTGGTGTTTAGAGTTAGTTCTACCCATCGAGGAGGAGGCAGGAGAGAAACTGCATTCTCTTCCCCCAGCGCAACTGAAATAAATGACACACACAAATGTGATTTTTTTCTCCTTTCTTCAGAGAAGCCAGTACTTGAATTGCTATATTTCTAATTTTTTCCTGTATCGTATTTGGTCTGGGCCATCCCTTCCCAGGCCTTGGGCACTCTGCGTGCAGATTTTGTACAAAAAAGACACACATACACACGATGATTCCCAGCCCAGGAGCTGAGGGACGAAGGCCTGGACTGAGCCACAGGCTGGGTTGGGTGGCGCAGGCGGGGCCTCGGGCGTGTACATAGCTGTGTTCCCTCTCACCCTCAGCGTCTGTTCCCAGCGTCTATCCCGTAATGTGCTTCTGTTTGTCATGGTAGAACAGCTCTGTGTTAATATATCGAAGTCACTTAAAAAACCAGAAACTCAACTGCATCCAGTTCTCATTATTTCTCCTCCCTGTGGCTCCCCACGATGCTGTTGTGGAGGAGGCAAGAGTTCAGATTCTTTAGGGGAGGCTGGAGCCAGAGAAGGGGCTCCCTCTATCTCAGAAAGGCAAATGCCTGCCACTTCTCTCCAGGCAGGGCAGGATAGGGCTGGGGGCTCCAGGGGATGCGAGGCTGCTGAGGGTGCGGAGGCCAAGGCCCAGCTTGTCCCTGCCCTGGCTGGCTGCCTACAAGGTTCCTGGTGGCGAGATGGAGGGAGGGGGCATGGCATGAATGGCTTTCCCTGGCTGTAATTGTAATAATTTATGAGTACATGAGATGGGAGAGAGGAGACAGGTGAAGATGAAAGTTGGGTGCTGGGTGAGGGCCCAGGCTGGATTCTTGGCTGGTTGCATTGGTGCTTTGGTGCTTTGAGGGCTGGCTGGGAAAAAAGGCTGGCAGGATGTTCACTAGAAGGAAGGCCAGGCAGGCCTCGGGGAGCAGGACAGACATAGGGGGACTTCGTTAAAAGAGAGAGGGAGAGAGGAAAAGAGAGAGAAAGAAGAAGGAAGGAACTGAAGGAAGGAAGGGAGGGAGGAAGGGGAGAGGTGGAAGAGGAAGGGATGGAAGGAAAGAAGGAGGAAGATGACAAAGCCAATGCAGTCGAAATTAGATTTAATTTCTACTTCTCACTGCTTTCTCATCTCTCCTTCTTGTTCTCTATTATTCTCAGTCTCTCTCCCTGTGGTGTGTACCTTGAATGTTGGTCTGGGGGTGATCAGGGTCATGCTAAGCAGCTGTAGTGCTTCTAGGGGATGGTGATGCTGGTGATGCTAGGCCCCAAGGAAGCTGGCTTAGCCAGGAGCGGGGTGCTCCCTGGTGGCTGTGGGACCCCAAGTGCAAAGGTGTGGAGATGTGTGTGTAACAGTCTGGTGGGGCTAGTTTGCTGCACTGCCACAGAGCCTTCCCTAGAACTAGCAGTTCTCATCTACTAATAAGAAGCAGACCCAAGCTGCCGGGCATGCTTCGGCCCAGTGCCCCCTTTCTCGGAAATCCCCCAATCTGGAAACTATTAAAATCAGACTGCTTGAAATATAGCCCTTTAATATCTCAGGCCTTTAATATCAATCCCCTTCTGTTGAGGGTGCAGGGTGTTGCTCTCGATACTCAGAAGATACCACCATAAAAGAAAATAATTGGGGACCCCAGCTCATGTGCTGCATCCCCCAAAGCAACACCCTACAAAATTGTTGAGACACTTGTAGGAACCAGTCTCTCCCCTCATTGTTGGGATCTCCTACCCTCTCCTCCCATTAAGCCCTCTAATTTGGGCATCTAGAGGAAGGTGGGAAGGGGTGAAAATTTTTTTGGCTATTTTGAAGGGCAATCAAGTTGCAACTGTGCATCAGTGAAGTACTCCTTCCCGCCTAGAAGACCTCTTCCTCAATCCTGGAAGCATTGTTTTCTTGGTCCTTTGGAAAAGTGCTTTGCCTATAGTTTTGTCTCTTTTCTCACTTCCTCTTTTTCTTTGGCCCTTCTGCTGTTCTGGAACCCTGGCCCCAATTCCGAACTTGATAGATTCTATCTCTCTGTCTCTCTCTCTGTCTCTCTCTCTGTCTCTCTCTCTCTCTGCCTCTCTCCCTGCTTTCCTCTCTCCCTCTCTGGACCCTGAGGTGCGGACTTCTCTCCCAGTCCGAGCTTGGCAGTTTTTCCGGGTTTCCCCCTGCCCCTGCTTCAGGGCCCTGTCGCCTCCTTTCGGCGGCGTCGGTCGGTCAGCATGGCCTGCTTCTGTAGCCCGCCCGCAGAGCCTGCCTCGCTTTGGGCAGGAAATGGGGCCGCAGGGCCTGGAAGACCCCAGGAAAGAAGAGGTAGGATACAGAGCAGGCCACCGGTCCAAGCCACTGTTCAGTCACAATTCAGCGTCGTGCGTGCAGATCAGGATTGGATTGGATTTTTATGCATTATCACTTGTGAATTAAAACAACACGACACACATCTAGGGAAAGAAATAAAATGTGGCGGGAGAGAAGGGCTAGCAAATGCCCTCCTTCCCTAATCTTCCCCTCCCACCTCTCCTCTGCTCTTTTGTCAGAATCACAAAACCCTAAAGGTTGTTCCACTTGGGAAGGCAGCGGATAGGTACATTTCCGCAGCCCCGAAATGCCACTTTTATGGCGCTGTTTGTCTCCCTGTGCTGGGTTCTGAATGGGGCTGAACAAAACAGCAGCGCGGAGCTGGCTAGACGTCTGGGCTTAATTGTTTTATGGTTTAAATAAAGTGGACACTCTTTCCTTTGAAATCGGATTATAGGAATGTTTTGTCTATGGCCCACGGAAAACAGGACCTCACTGGCTGGGAGGGAGAAATGGAGAGAGGCCGCAAACCAGGGGCAAACAGCCTGCGGAAGTTGAGTCCCACTCTAAATTCCCTCAGGCGGCGGCGGAATAGGCGGTGAGGGGCCAGTGTCAGGGTAAGACGAAGGAGGAATGTAGGGTGCGCGCCGCAGGCAGCGGTCGGTCGGTAGTGGGAGCTTTGGACTGTGCAGCAGCGTGCGTGGAGGTATTCAGAGGCCAGAAATGCGCCTGAAGGAAGGAGGCGGAAATCACTGCACTTCCTTTGCACAAGGAATAATGCAAGAAGGGTGGTAACAAAAAGAGCGAGAGTATGGAACCTTTCACAAGGTTTATTTCAAGAATTTAGGAAACAAAAAAAAAACAGCGGTCGCGGGGCAACTCCCTTCCGGGGAATCCCTCTCCTTTGCACCCAATTGGAGGCTCCTTCCTCTCATTTCCCACCTTTGGGCCAAGCCTGCGACCTCTGTTGGCTTTTTCCCGGCCTGACTGCATTAGAGCATGTGGACGCGAGGTGGCGCTGTTGCTCAATGTTAGAGGCGGCGTTGTCTCGACAGGCCTGGCCGCACTGACGTTTGAGGCCCGGACCAGAGCCGCGGTGTGAAGGCCCTGCGCTTTTGCCCGGCCCAGCCCCACTGGCTCTGAGCAAATCAATCCTCTCACCTGCGAGGTGTAAATAATTCGCGAGTGGCAGCGGGAGATGGGCCCTCGCTGGGGCAGCGGGCTCCGGAGGCGCAGAAGGGCAAGCATCAAAAATAATCGCTTTGCAGAAGAGCTAAGTGCGAAGCAGGCAGCGCCTAATTAACACAAAAAGGCGGAATGACCCGGACAAACGAACATAAATCCGTGGTACCTAAGAGGGCGGTGCAGGCCTCGGGGAGAGGGACAGAGTTGGCCCCGGCGAGGATGGCTGCTTGCGATTCCTATATTTCCAGGCTCAGGGAACGAAATAAACCAGATACGTGCAAAAGCAAAAAAAGAAAAAAAATTGAAATAAATGCGAAGGATCCCTCCCTGAAGGGGGAAACCAAGTCTGGCCAGGGGTTGTGGGGCTGGCTGGTTCTCCGGACTGGAGGCAGTGGCAGCACACTCAGGGAAGTCGCATTCCAAGACACAAAAGCCCAGAAGAATAGCTCTGTGGCACGGTTTTTCGCTGGACCATAAAATGTGGAAATATCCCCCCACCCCCTAAAAGATAAGGCGCAGGCCCAAGAGCTGATCTGGGCCTCTGGGCCTCCTGTTTCGATGCAGAGAAGAGAAAGTATTTATGGCAGTCCCCAGTGGCCCAGATGCTGAGAGCCAAGAGCCCACCCTGTTCACCTCAGCACCAAAAGAACAGGCTTAGAAAAGACAGGGCTGGAGCCAAGGATGCAGCGGCTTCTGGCCATAGTGGTAGAAGTGCCTCGCCACCGCCATATCCCCCAGTGTTTTGGGGCCCAGGGAGGCCTTCGACCCTGGGATACTCCTCACACCCTTCTCTCCCTCCTTCAGGGCCAGAGTCCCGGTATCTAAGAGTTTAGACAGTCTATGTCTAACTCAGATAGGATGGGCTCCCCAAATGCAAGGGGTCCTGAAAGGGTCTTTGCTGGGCTACCAGTAAATCTCCTGTGGGAGTTTGGCTGAGAGTGACCATTTCCCTGGCAATTATTTAGATAATAAATGGGCTGGGAAAGGAGGGCTCTTTCTTGATAAACCATCCTGATCTGTACTGCCATTTCTTCCTCTATCCGCAGAGCTGGGCTCCGGATGAGGATGGGAAAGGAAAAGATCTGGTTTTCTAACCACCTCCTTCCTCATCCAATCCTGAAACCTCAGGGAGTGGAAGGAAAACAGGTAGCAATTTTTTTTCATGATGCAGTGACCTAACGATGAATCTGCATTTGTCAGGCTTCTGTGCATGGGTGACTCATGTGCACGTGTGTGTGCAGTGTCTGGGATGTAACAAGGACACTTCTAGGAATGTGTATGCTAGTTTATGGTGAGCATGCACTTGACATGTCTCAGGGTGAGAAGGTAGCACACTGTGTGTGTGTGTGTTCCTGAGTGTGACCCAGGGTTGTCCTGTGTGTAACAGCCTCACATACTGTGGAAGAAGATCAGGGAAAAATCATTCATCTTCATCATCTTCATTTGTCTGCACACGGCCAACATATACATGGCTCTCCCACTTTTTCCCTTTTTCTCTCTCTGTTAAACCCGTATGACTGTATACTTATGGCCAGGAAGGGTGCTAATGGACTAAGGTTCTTTTATCCATTAGAACTTGAATTTGTCCAGTGTTGAGGATGAGGGGAACCCCCCAGAGAAAGTGTGGGTAAATATTTGAAGAGTATCTGTTGACAGTTCCCATCCACATCCTGGCCTGGGCAGCTTGCCTGGGGAAGAAGGGGGTTGCAGAGAAGTCATGAGGCCCCTCCAGGCTGAGTTGGCATTTCCTAAGGGTGGGGGTATATGGGGACAACTAAGAGGCCTGCTGCAGTCCCCTCCAACAAAGAAACAAATAGTGTCCTAAGAAGGAACATCCTGGATCAATCCAGCCAGAAGCCAGGGACACTAAGTTGTTCCTTCTAAGTCCCCATAAACAGCTTTGCTCTCAGAACCCCCCCCCCCAGCCAAACTTGTGGCCATTGCCTGGGCTTCCTGCTCCAGGTAGGAGCTGGTTCTGAAGGGAGACTGTTGTGGTCCTGGCGGGGTATATAGAGTGCCCCCGCCCCTCTGGCCCTCAACCCATAAGCGGCCAAGTGTGAGGGTCTTGAGGATGTAAGGAAAACAGGGCAGCTTCAGACCCCTGGGAGGAGTCAGAGGCTGGAGGGTCTGAAGCTTGAAGTGTCTAGGGGACGTGGTTGCTTGTTTCTCCCCAAAGACCCCAGACTTAAGGACCCCCTAGGGAGCCCATCTTTTGGATTTGGAGCTCTGCTTCTGGCTTGCTGACATTCAGTCCCCTGGGGAGGGTCTTATACCTGTTGAGGTAACCTGAGTTGACCTGCTGATTCAGGTACCTCTCTCTCCCTGTCTCAATGAGAGGAAGAAAAAGAGAAGCAGGGGCAGAGAGGCACCTTCAAATCTGAATGCGTACCAGACTATTAGCTAAGGCTGACTCGCCACCCCCTACACACACCACACCCCATCCCCCCTCTTATCCCTCCCCTTCCTCCAGGTCCCCCCAGCCCTGAACCCCTCAACCCCTGCTAGCGCCCTCTCTCTCTCTCTCTCTCTCTCTCTCTCTCTC